AATGCGCATAGTCTTATTAATTATTCTCAGTATTTATATTCACATTAAAAAACCTACACTAACATGAATAGCAGTATTACCACTTGATACTCCAGATAATACGATTATGCATAGTATGAACAGCGATACTGCTATTGATACCAATATTAATGCTCCTACGAATACTAATAATCACGTTCAAACCAAATACAAAAAACAGACACATCAATGTACCAAAGAATCTGTATTTTCACATACCAATAAATAATATACTCGTATACTACTATTCCAATGTTACCATAGACTATGAGACTATACACTGGTTAATATTAACACTAAGAATAAGGCAGAGACTAAGACCAAGACTAATACGAATACTAAAACTCACACTAGACATTAACACTACCATTAGTACACCTATTGTATAGACTTATATTCAGACTAATACTAACGCTGACATTGGAATTGACATTGACACTGACACCAACACTAACAGTAACACGAATCAACACGCTAGAACGCAGATACTAATACTAACACTAATGCCTAATGCACATCTGAAGACTACTGCGCGTAAACAACGAAACCATTTCCGATCAAGCATGCTGCGCGCTGTATTGGCTCTAAGGCTCCGAGAACCAAAAATCCAAAAAAACAAAAAACCAAAAATCCAAAACCTTTGTCAGGGGGGTCGAAACTTTTGGATTTTTTGGTTTTCCTAGGGTTTTTTTGGTTTTCCAACAGAAAACCAAAAAAATCCAAGGTTTTTTTGGTTTTCCAGCAGAAATCCAAAAAAATCCAAGGTTTTTTTTGGTTTTCCAGCAGAAATCCAAAAAAACACAGGTGTTTTTTGGTTTTTCACGAGAGACACAGCAGAAAAACCAAAAAAACCTTGTGTTTTTTTGGTTTTCCACCGAAAATCCAAAAAAAGCCATGGTTTCGCCAAGGCAAAGCCCAAAAAACCAAAAAAGACCTAGGAAAACCAAAAAATCCAAAAGTTTCGGGCCCCTCAGAAAGGCTTTGGATTTTTGGATTTTTGGTTTTTTGGTTTCCGCCGTCGTATCGTATGGTTTCTTTTAATGTTTCTTGCTTATGAATACAGGCATATGAATTTGAAAGCGGACATGAGTAGGCACGACGTTGTAAAGAGACATGACTTCACATCAGCCATGATAGAGAAGGTATCATCCCCGAAAATTACGCAAAACACGAATCGTATGCCAAACGCGAATCCCTGCCAAGAGAAGGTTTTGACGGTATTTACAATGGAAAAGAGGCCGAGGTAGGTCATGGGGGGGGGTGTGTCCATATATATATATACATATACACATATAATTTATTTGCCTGTTTTTTGCCACGGACATGCGCCAGAAGCTGCAAACAGCGACATGCCGAGCTGCCATGGGCTTGAATGTCACAAACTGCAAAGGATACCTCCAGTTCGAGGTTTTTATGCTTTGTATTTTGCACAACCCTTTTCCGTCTCGCATGATGAGGCTTTATATTTAGGGTTCAGGGTTTTTCCCTCCTACCTAGCAAGGACAAAGCCCGCATTGCAGGGTTCAGGGTTCTAGAGTTTAGGGGTGGGTGGCTGTGCTGCAAATAACGGCTAACCCTAGGGCTCCAAGAGGTTACTGGGGTACATGACATATGGTTAGTTAGTAACCTACCATTTATGCAACTGGAGCCGTAAAGTAATTCCAGGCATGTCTATCCTATCCTAGCCAAAACTTAGTTGCTGAGTTCATAAGCCCCCCAAAAGTGCACACTTTCAGTTTTATAGTGGGTAGTACTATCCCAAAAAGTGTATCCACTCAGCTACTAAGAAAATATAAAATTTGTCGTCTCAATGCAGGGTGTGCTGTTCGCAAATACCCTAAGGGTCCATGTACCTAAATATTATATACATTGGCCTTAAAGTAGTCCCTATATAGGTACAGTACATTGGGGCCAAAGTATATACTATTTGGGTACATGGACCCTTAAACCCCAAACCCCTATAAAGCCTTTATAGAACCCTCATAATATCCCCTAAAAAGATCCATTAAGGGATAGCTACATCTCCCATTCTGGAAGCACAAACCGAGCCGACTCCGAGCGAAAAGCTCTCCGTCACAATGAACGAATATATCATGACTATAGTTTTTGTATTATAGCTACCAGTGTAGCCACAGGTGTATATATATATATATATATACATATATATATATATATATATACATACATTCAGATGTATATACATATATCTATATATGTATATATATATATGTATACATATGTATACATATGTATACATATATGCATGTACTACGGTTTGGGATTTGAGGTTTAGAGTTTAGAGGACTGTCAATGGTTTCTCTTCTCGGAGGCCGGCTACCTTAGGTTCCTCTCGGCAAGCATGACTTTACAGATCTATACCGATGTATGCCAGTACTTTGGCAGTTTGTAGCGCACAAATGTAGCAATAACACCAATCATTCGCTTTGTCGCACAGCCGCTGTGGCAATCATGGATCCACCAG